AGAGAGACAGAGAGAGGGAAAGTGGGGACTCACCCCAAGGGGGATGGCCATGCCACACTCCCTTTTCCTACAGTCCCCTCTTGGGTACTCACGTACATGTGCCCAGTGTGATTTTCCAACCACCAGGTCCAGGACTTGAACTACAGATGGCCATGTGGGAGTCACACAGCTGATGCTGGAGGGCATACACAGCTAGGCATATGGAAAGACCACTGAGTGGCATTGAAATTGCATTCTAATGGGACCAGCAGTTGGCATAATGGCTATGTCTCTGGACTCCCATGTAGTCAACCACAGTTCGAGTCCCGGACTCAGTGGCTTAAACTCTCACCGGGCGCATGTGTGTGCCCAAGATCCCAAGAGGAAAATGGAGGAGAAGAGATTGCAGTGTGACCATCCCCCGGTGGGGTGATTTCTCGCTTTCTGTCTCTCTGTCTTTCCGGTGAGTGCATGTGCCGCAAAAACCTCTCCAAAAAGAAAAAGAAATTGCATTCTAAGGGACTAGCAGATGATGTGACAGTTATGTCACTAGATTCTCACATGACTGACCATGGTTCAAGTCCTGGACCCTGTGGCTTTAAATTCATGCAGGGCATGTGTGCTTACATGCCTAAAATTCCAAGAAAGGGATTATGGCGTGGCCATATCCGAAATCCCCCCTTCTGACCCACTGTCTCTCGAGCGAGCACATGCGCCCTATAGCAAAATTTCTCCTGAAAAAACAAACAAACAAACAGTGAAAATGCATTCTAAAACCCATTTCTGCATTTTCCTTCTCTCTCTCTCTCTCTCCCTCTTTTTTTCTTTTGAGAGATTTTTTGCTATAGGATGCATGGGCTCGCTGGAAAGACAAAAGGCAAGAAATCACCCCCCCCCCCCAGCGGGGTTGGCCACACCAAATCCCTCCTCCTCCTTTCTCTCGGGATTTTGGGCTCGCACACACACATGCCTGGTGTGAGTTTTAAGCCACTGGGTCTGGGGCTCAAGCTGTGGTCAGCTATGTGGGAATCCAGTGGTGTAACTATCACGCCATCTGCTAGCCCTCCTTTCTACATTTTCTACCACGAACATGTATTCTTTGTTTAACCTGGAAAAAACGAACACCCGTCAACCTGAGCCTGGGGAAGGAAAGACCCTGAGAAGCGCCACCTGCTCCCTTGCCGAATTCTTGCCAGAGCTGCTCAGATCCCTGCCTTCTCTCCTGCTGCAGATGATCCTGAGAACAGTCTTCCCGAATTCTGAGGACGGACACCCGGCCCCTAGTGCTCGCACACCCAAACCACAGTGCCTCTGCAGAGAGCCTTCAGAGCTGAAGCCGACAGTTTCTGCTCTCCCCGGCACCCAGCAGAGCCTCAACCGCTTGTCTCCGGAAGGTCCACCTCCCCTGCCCTGAGCACTGATGGCAGTGCCTACTACGCTCTCCCTCTTCCCTGCTTGTCACCAGCCCCCGGTCAGCCTGGGCAGGTCCCCCGAGTTGCCTCAGCCCTCTGCCTGTCAGGACATGACAAAATGGCTTACCTCCAGGGCCCTGCCTCTAGCTAAGAATGGTTTTCTGTATACGGTTTTATTGCCAAAGAGCATGTGTACTCCCCAGAGCAAGACAGAGAGTCAGGGAGAGAGAAAGCACCCCTGCTGAGGCGTGGCTGAGCTGCAGTCCTTTCTCCTCGTCTCTCCATCCTGCAGGATTGGGGCACACGCACAAATGTGCCTGGCGGTTTTTTCGTCCCTGTGGCCGGGATTCGAGCTACAGTTCGCCAGGCAGGATCTGGTTCCTTTAACAACTAGGCCATGGGGCCGGCCAGTTTTTACATTTTTCCATGCTTGAGGAGAGTCAAAAGAGATGATTATTTCACGACACATAAAAGTGATCTAAAACTCATGGGGCCAGCAGGTGGCGTGGTGGTTAAGGCACTGGACTCCCACACGGGTCACTGGGAGTGGTTCCAGATGAGTTCCAGACCTGGTGGCTTGCTTTCTCACTTCCACTTGACCTCCCCCCTCTGTCTCTCTCTGGTGAGCACAGGTGACCTCTAGCATATTAAAATAATACTAATAAGTGAAATTAAATAATTATTTTAAAAGATTTAAAAAGAAGTGATCTAAAATTCAGACCGTGAGATTCATAAAGTCGGGTGCGCACACCCCAGGTCTGTCACCCGCTGTCATCTGTGGCAGCTTGCGCGCTACGTGACAGGGTTGAGTGGTGTTGGCCTGGGCTGTTTTCTGCCTGGCTCTGCAGAAATGGCTGCTCCCTGGGTCAGGACATCCCTAAACCCATGTTTTCCTTTGGCTTCAATCTTCCGTCCACTCCATCCTAGCTGCTACCCAATGTCAGTGTCTGTCCCCGAAAGCTCTGGGATCTTAACCTGGGGCAGATACCTTGGCCTTGATAGGACTGTGCCGTGCTCAGGGACGACAGTGCCCTCCGCCCTCCCCCCGCTCTCAAGGAGCCAGCCGCACCTGTCTACCGCCCACCCTGCGGCCTCTCCTGACTCTTGAGTGGCGGCTCAGGAATTTCCACTGGCGTTTTGGAGTATGGTAAAAAATAGGAAGCAGCCAAACCGTTCCTCGGGGAATTGATGAGCCTCAGTAGTCATGCAGCTGCTGGAAATTGCTCTGTGGGGCTACTCAGTGGCGTGGTGGGTAAAGCGACTGGATCTCACCTGGCTGACTGCGTGGTTCAAGTCTCAGACCTGGTGGCTTGAGAAACATGCTACGCTTGTGTGCCTGCGTACCCGAAACCCTGAGAGGAGGACGCAGAGGTTGGGGAGGCAGCGTGGCCACCCCGGCGTGATTTCTCACCTTCTCACTCCCCAGGCCCATGAGCACACAAGCCCTATAGCAAATTAAAAGAAAGGAAAAAGAAAGAAAAGGTAGGGAGGGAGACTGGTTATGTCGCTGGACTCTTTACATAATCGACCACAGTTCAAGTCCCAGACCTGGCAGTTTAAAAGTCATGTCGGGCATGTGTGAGTGCGTGCCCAAGATCCTGAGAGGAGAAAGGAGGAGAAGGCATCATGGCATGGCCATCCCCCTTGGGAATGCTTTCTCGCCTTCTGTCTCTCTGGTGTGCATACAGGCTCTGTAGAAAAGAATCTCTCCAAAAAAAAAGAATAAAAGGAAGGGGAGGGGAGAATGAGGGGAGGGAACAGAGAGGGAGGAAGAAAATGAATCTCAGAAATACTTTGGCTTCATGGCGCTGACTCTGGAAGGTATGTTTTTCAACGAATGTCATCGATATCGACAGAACGTGATTAAACACCCAAAGACGAAGCGGAGGATCGGCATCCACGTGGACAAGATGGCTGAGCAAGCCGTGCCCCACTCTGGTGACTGACGTCTTTGGAGGGCAAGTGGGCTGCACACACGCATTTTGTTCTAGGTTTTGTTTTTTTCCCTCCAGAGGGCACGTGGACTTGACAAAGGGATGGAGAAAGCACCCCCTGGGGCAGGGTCACACTGCAGAGTGGACCACTGAGGTCTTGCCCACTAAGCCAGGGGCCAGCCCTGGGTAAAAGTGTTCTGATTCCGCACTTGTCCAGGCTTATTCTGTAGGCGGAGCCGCGCACGTGGGTGCGTGTTTGCTGCGGCACAACCTTTAACAGAGGATAAAGGGCTGGCCCAGGCTTCCCTCCTCTCCATCCAGGCTGGCTGTGCCTGAGCGACAGCCACATTCCTGTACGCTCCCAGTGGATGACCCCCAGGCCATCTGGGGCTGGCAGCGGCAAAGTTTCCACACCCCCACCCACACAGCACAGCCTCCTGCGCCGCATAGCGGCCGCACTCACGCTCTCCTCCACTGCAGATCCACTCTGGAGACTGGCCTGTTCTGCATTCAGGAGGCAGTTCAGAGCAACGATCCCAGCTGCGTGGGGGCTCTTGCCCAAAAGTCACAAACAGGCCTTCAGTTTGGCTGTCCCCTCCCAGCTCCAGTCTGTGCCGTCTTCAGTCTAAGGGACACTCTGCCTTTGGAGGAGGGGAGAAAAGAAGTGGTCATTTCTGGGCTTTGAGTGATTCGAGTCTAGTGACACCAGAGGACACGAGCTCAGACAGGCCAAGGAAGATGCAGAACCAAGACCCCAGTCTTCACCGCCACTTCCATGGTCTGCAAGCAAAGCCTAACCCCGGCTGTCTACATAAGTACGTGACGTGCTGGCACGCAGGGTCACACAGGGACCTCGTCTGACTTGGTCCCCACTGTGCCAGCTGCGCTCGGAGGAGGTCTGGAGCATCACAGGCCACCTACCAGCACATGCCCTCTGAATGCCTACACAGCACGGTAAATCCAGACTTGCGTCATCACAGTCCCTGGTGGGAGGCCGGCCACTGGGTTTTAGCCCCTGCTCCAATGCCTGTGTAACCTCTACAGGCACCACTTACGATGCACCGACCTCAGTCTTCTCATCTGTAAAATGGCAAGTTGGGGGAAAAGGGAGGACAGTGTGGCTACATACCACAGCGCTGACGCACTGCTCAAGAGATGCCAGATCCTACATGGCAACTGCAGTTCAAATCCCCTGTCCGGTCAGCCTGAAACAAGCGGGACAATGCCAGTACCCAGGATCTGACAGGCTGGAGGACTGGAGGGTAGAATAAGGCCATTTGCCACACCCACAACAGATGGGCTACTATCCCTGATGCAAGGGGATCCTCCAAAAGCTCACTGAGTTCCCCAAGGCACAGCATAGCCAAATTGACCAAAACCACAGACAGAGGCGAAACACTAAAACTGGCAAGAGAGAAACGACTAGTTACTTTCAAAGGACATCCCATCAGGCTTATGTCAGACCTCTCATCGGAAGCAATGCAAGCAAGGAAAGAATGGGAAAATATATTCAAAGTGTTAAGTGAAACAACTTCAACCAAGAATACCGTACCCAGCAAGATTATCCTTCATATGGGAAAAAAAAGACAAAAACATTCTTAAACAAAACCTGAAAGAATTGACCAACACCAGACCAGCTCTCCAAGAAATGCTGAAGGGAGAGCTACACAGGAAGACTAAAGGCGGACACAGAAGTAAGAGTGCAAGAAACAACCGAGAGAATGACCAGCCTAACAGACAGGACAGCTCCAGAGCTGAATGTGAACTTCCAGAGTTTAAATGGAAAGATCAGACCACAGCAACACTGCAAATTCAGCAGAAGAGAGGTTAATTACATGAGTCTGAACTAATGAAATAGGATTTTTTAACTTTAGACTAGAGCATTACTGATTTTCTTAGATGCTTTGATTTCCGTGTTTAAGGATTTTTTGTCTTCTCTTGAACTGTTGATAGGTTCATCTACCTACTATTTGAACTGATCCTAACCTTTTTCCTGGCTTTAAGTTTTAAACAGTTTTCTCTTAACATTTTTTGATTTTGTTCTATTGAAACTAAAACTTTTTTGAAATTAAAAAAATGCATTAAAAATACCTATTAAATACCCTTAATGATTCCAGTAAGCTTTATAGCCCCAGCAAGGTGCTACTTTAGAGTATGTTCACTTTACTCACTGAGGTTTATGCATAAAGTCAGACATGCATTCATAGATATGTATATATCAGCTGTGCTTCCTATTGAAGGTCTTTAAGATCTCTAGTGAGGCAATAAAATGTGAAAAAAGCTAAAAAAAAAAAAAAACCTTGAAAATGTGTATTACAAAAAGAAAAAAAACAAGTGCAGAGCTCAAAAACATTTGCACCGAACTGAACTCGCATTATAATTCCACCTTGCACAAACTTTTTCAAGTCCCCTTGTGAATATACACAAAGAACTCCTAAAAATTCATAAGAAAAAGGGAACTCAATAAGTAACTGGACCAAAGATATATGTTGGCACAGATTAAAATGAGACCTCTCCAGTGTGGACGAGGGAGCAGGCATGATGGGAGTGAGCATGGTGCCACGGTCTGGGAAGAGCAGAGGTACCAGAGAGCAACATTTGACATGCGCGTTCATTCTAGCAACCCGCACTTGGAAACGAGCCCATGGAGACAAACGTGCCAGGACACAGGCTATTCACATGAAGACTTATTGTGATATGATTTGCGTGCCGTAGAACTAGAACTTCGGAAGGGACATCGCTGAAGAGGAGTTCGCTCTTATTCAGAATGTCTCACCGCTTTCTGCACACGGTTGGCGCTCCAGCTCCAGACCTGGATGAGCATTCGCTTCTGGAGGAATTCTGTTGCAAAGAGAAGATCACAGCTCCAAGGGTCAACTTCTGGACTTCTAAGAACTTCATTGAAAAGACTTGATAAGAGAAGAGATACAGAACCATGGCCGAATACTCCTACGTGACGTTCACCAAACTCGTGCTCAAGGGCACCAAGGCAAAGAGTAAGAAGAAAAAGAACGAAGAGAAGAGAAAAAGAGAAGAGGGTGAAGAAACCCAAGTTGATATTGTTGGAATCTGGTGGACAGTAGCAAACGGTGAAATTTCAGGAACCACAGTGTTTGCAATGGATAGGGAACCTGTACACAGGCACTCGACGGTGGTCTCTTCACACTGGGACACCACGTAAGGAGTGGAGAGCAGTCTGCTGCCGGCAAATTGTCTGGTTCCAGAACTGCCCTGAAGTCGGCTATGGAAAACATCTTGGTATAGATTCTGATGGACTTGCTGGGTGTTCAGATGCAATTGGACCAAGAGAAAATGGGACCCAGTCTTTCGAGATGGTAGAGTGGCCTTACTGACCTCACATAGCTGCTTCAGGAGATGCAATGATATAGAAGCAGAGCAGTAAAACAGCAGGAGAAGAGATGGTAAGAGCAGATCCTGTGCTGAAAGAGAAACCACGAAAAAGGATGGCATCCCAGAACACAGAGGCTATGTAAAACAATGCGGAATCTGTTACATAAAGAAATTTTAGAGTTTCCAGACAACAAACTTAAAATAAGTAAAGAAGACAGTAAAATTCCTTAAAAAGCTTGGAAAGGGAACCAGCAGTTAGCGTAATGGCTATGTCGCTGGACTCCCACGTAGTTGACCGCGGTTTGCGTCCCGGACCCGGTGGCTTAAAACTCACGCCGGTTTCGTGTGCGTGTGTCCCTAAGATCCCAAGAGGAGAATGGAGGAGAAGGGACTGCGGCGTGACCATCCCCCCTGGGGGATGATTTCTCGCTTTCTGTCTCTATGTCTCTCTCTGTCTGTCTGGTGAGCGCACATGCCCTATAGCAAAACAAAACAAAACAAAACAAAACAAAACACCTCTCCAAAAAAAAAAGAGCTTGGAAAGATGGAATTTTGCATGAGACACTTCTGGACAAGAGAGCCAAAATAAAAGCCGACATACTGCAAATGATCTGGTTTTTGATTGTCTTATATGTTTGTTTTTTTCTGAAAATTTTCAATGAGGTGAAAAAAAAAATGGAGATAAGTTGGGGCCAGCAGCTGGCCAGCAGTGGCTAAGGTGCTGCACTCCCACATGGCCATAGTTTGAGTCCCGGACCTGGTGGCTTAAAAGTCACACTGGGGTGCATGCCCAGTGCATGCCCAGAATCTCAGGAAGAGAATAGAGGAATGCAGGAGAAGGAATTGCAGCATGGTCATCTCTGCTCAGGGGTGATTTCTCACTTTCCCTCTTACTGTCTCCGTGAGCACACATGCTCTATGGCAAAAACCTTTAAAAAAAAATGATGAGTTATCGGCTCAGTTGAGGGCGGAGGTTTAGCTGTGGACTTCATCAACTTGACAGGCACAGCCTGGCGATGGACAGATGGACGCGTACCTCCAAACATCCCAACCAGCATGGGGGGGAGAAGCTGGCATTTGGCAGTTCCAACAGATAACGAGTTTGCAGGTCAAAGGGCTTAATACCCATGAGGAAAAGCCAAATAGTGGGTGGAAAAAATGGAAATAAATACAAGTTTAATAATAATAATACGAGTTTAATCTGGTGCAAAATTTTTTCTAATCTATGCATTTTTTTCATGATTTCTTTTTTCTCTTTTCTTTCTTTCTTTCTTTCTTTCTTTCTTTCTTTCTTTCTTTCTTTCTTTCTTTCTTTCTTTCTTTCTTTCTTTCTTTCTTTCTTTCTTTCTTTTTTTTAAGTGATTTTTGCTATAGGGCATGTGTGCTCGCAGGAAAGACAGACAGAAAGCAAGAAACCCCCTCCAGGGCAGGTGGCCACGCCACAATCCCCTCTCCTCCACACACTCGCGCCCCGCGTGAGTTTTAAGCCACCGGATTCCAGGACTAGGTGGGAGTCCAGCGACATAACCATTATGCCATCTACTGGTGCCCACAATGCACATTCTCTATGTGCTTGCGCCGGATAGGAGCCACTCCTTGAACCCACCGCGGGGACTTCGGCCCACCCTCAGCCCCTCTCTGCACCCACTCTGAAAGCAGTGGGGTGAGCGCCAAGTGTGGGAAGGACGGGTCACCGAGCGTTCGCGAGCTCAGGCAGAGCTTTGCGGCCAAGGACTACAACTCCCAGCACGCCCCGCGCTGCCCCGCCCCGCATTCCCAGAAGGCCGCGGGCGGCGCCCTGGTAAGGGCGGAGCGCTCCCGACATGCCCTGCGGTGCGCCGCTAACCGCCGGGTTTGAATTGCGGCACCGCTCGGCGGCATGGGCGCCCCGTCCTTGCCCCCGGCCTGGCAGCTCTACCTCAAGGACCACCGCGTCTCTACGTTCAAGAACTGGCCCTTCTTGGAGGGCTGCTCCTGCACCCCGGAGCGGGTGAGACCGCCCCGCCCCGTCCCAGCGAGGCCTTCTCTACCCGCCCGGACTCCGGAACGACCCCTCCCGGGGGCTGCGGTCCCATTACGCCTGGTCCTGGGGGTCCGGATCCCGAGGCAACCCCTGCGGGAGGCCATGGCCGCATTGTGCCTGGGTCCTGGGGTTCAGGACCCGGGACGACCCCTCCTAGGGGCTGGAGTCCTGGGGTTCCGGGCCCCGGAACGACCCCTCCCGAGGGCTGCCGCCCGGTATGGCTGGGCCTGGGGGATCTGGGCCCCGGAGTGATCCCTCCAAGGGCTGCGGCCCCATTATGGCTGGATCCCGGGAGTCGACCCGGAACAACCCCTTCAGAAGAGGTGGCCCTAGGTGTCTGGACCCCGGGGGCTCACGAGCTGCACTGTCCTTTGCAGATGGCCGAAGCCGGCTTCATCCACTGCCCCACTGAGAACGAACCCGACCTGGCCCAGTGTTTCTTCTGCTTTAAGGAGCTGGAAGGCTGGGAGCCAGATGACGACCCCATGTAAGTCCCTTGTGCCAGCCTCGGTGGGCTTCCAAGGTGCCAGGGCGCAGGGGTAGTGGGGGGGGGTTGTTCTAAACTTGCAAAAATCGACTGGAATTTTGGAGGCAGCGCTGCAGTGGCTGCTTCCCCAGCCTCCTCTTGTGCATAAACAGCTGTTGGTAAGGAGTCCATCCCTGCATGCTGGTGGCTTGGTGCCACTTCCAACCTAACGGATCTGACTGGCCACAGTGGCTTTGGGTGATGACAAGGGCACACTCTTAGAAGGTGCTTGACACCTTTTCCTGTCGTGGGAACTCCCTGGAGTCACCAAGTGCCTTATCTGTGGGACTTTTTTTTTTTTGCGCCGGAGGGCATGTGCTCCCTGGGGAGACAGAGTGGGAAGGTGAGCAGGCACTCCCCGCGGGGTATGGTCATGCTGCACCCCTTCTCCATCTTTATCTCCTTCAGGATCTTGAGCATGTGCACACACGCACCCAGCTTTTTCCTTAAATTGCTGAGATGTGTATTCAGACACGCGGGCCCCAGCTGCCCTAACCACCACGTCTTGGGCTGGGTTCCTGTATGGAACATTTTCCTAGTTCTGCTTTTGTATTGTGTGTGAACATGCACTTCCCTGAGAGACAGGAAAGGTGAGAAGTCACCCCGTGTCAGAGAATGGCCATACTACAATCCCGTCTTCAATCTCTTCTCTGGATTTTTGGGCACGCATGCAGCAGGAGTTTCAAGCTCCTGGGTCCAGGACTCAAACTGTGGTCAACCATGTGGGAGTCCCGTCACCACCACACCACATGCTGGGACTTTTTTAAACTTTTTTTAAAAATGATTTTATTTAATTTTATTCATTGTCAGTATTTTGTTTTGTTTTGTTTTGTTTTTCGAAGCTGACCAGAGAGACGGAAGGAAAAGGAAAGTGAGAAAACAAGCTGCCAGGTTCAGGATTCGAACCATGGTCAGCCATGTGAGAGTCCAGCCACCTTTACCACCATGCTATGTGCTGGCCTCCCTGCTGGGACATTTTTAAAAACAGCTTTAGAGGCAGGTGGTATGGTGGTGAAGGTGCTGGACTCCCCATGGCCCCCATGGTCTGAGTCTTGGACCTGTTGGCTTGCTTTCTCGCTTTCTCTCTTTCTCTCTCTCCCCCTCTCCCTCTCTCCCTCGCTATTCCTCCCTCCTTCCTCCCTCCTTCCGTGTCTCTCTCTGGTGAGCACATGCGTCCTATTACAAATTAAATAATAATAGTAAATAAAATAAATAACTCTCTTTTAAAGGAATTATTTTATTAATTTTTCATCATCATCATTATTTTTTAGTTCGATCAGAGGGAGGCAGGGAGGGAAGGTGAGAAAACAAGCTGCCAAATCCGGGACTCTAATTGGTTGGCCATGTGAGTTCAGAGTCCTAACCACCATGTCTCCTGCTTGCCCCAGTAAATAATTTCTTAAAAAAAAAAAGAATAAAACAAACAGCTTTATTGAAATACAACCCACGTACTACAAAAATAAGTCTTTTGGGACCAGCAGTTAGCATAATGGCTGTGTCACTGGACTCCCACGTAGTTGACCGCGGTTCGCGTCCCGGACCCAGTGGCTTAAAACTCACGCCGGGCATGTGTGCGTGCATGCCCAAGATCCCGAGAGGAGAACGGAGGAAAAGGGATTGCGGCGTGACCATCCCCCCTGGGGGGTGATTTCTCGCTTTCTGTCTCTATGTCTCTATCTGGCGAGCGCACGCGCCCTATAGGGAAAATCTCTCAAAAAAAAAAAAAAAAAAAATCAGCCTTTTAAAGTGTATTCCTCAGTGTCATTTTGGAATTTCTTCTTCAGGACACCTTTTCATTAAAAAAGAAAAAAAACAGTCAGGATCCGGTCAGAGGGCCTGGTGTCTGTCTTTCCATCCCACGGTGCTCTGTTCTTTTCTTGCCCCGTCTCCCTGTCGGGATCGGTTGCTCCTACTACTCTGAGTCCGCCTTCAGAGGGTTGCCCAGGTTGTCCCCTTGCCAGAGAGTGTTGCTGGCTCTCCTGTCGTGTCCGTGGCTACGGCCAAGTGTTGGATGTGATGGTGTGGTGGCCATGCCTGCCATCGCTGGGAAGCGTCGGTGGTGTCACCCTGAGCGTGGCTATCTCCAGGGTGTTCGGTGTTGCTGTCCTTTCGGAACTTGCATGGCCATGTGCCCGTGACGCCAGCCCTCCAGGGATGCCCCATTACAGAGCGCTATATGAGGCCAAGGGGTCCTGGAGATCCTGCCCAGCAGTGCCCCACCCTGAACTACGGGCTCTGTAACAATTCTGTGAGATCACTTCCCACTTCCCACGGTCCCTTGTGTCTCCGAGGAGCTGACGTGCAGTTCCTCTGTACCGTATAACGCTTGTCCTACCACTTGCTAAAGGACGTCACATAACACACTAGCCATAGGGTGTGGGGTGTCCACAGGGAGGCAGGTGGGCGTGCGGCTGGGCCTAGCCTGAGGCCACCTCCTCCAGGCTGGGCACCTTGAAGCAGAACAAGGCTTGCTACAGGGTGGATGTGGGAGGCGGAGCAGGCTGTGGTCATGGACTGCCCTTGTCCCCGACGTCCCTGTGACCTGTCCTGTGTTGATTTTCTAGAGAGGAACATAAAAAGCATTCGTCTGGTTGTGCCTTCCTCTCTGTCAAGAAGCGGTTTGAGGAATTGACCCTCGGTGAATTTTTGAAACTGGACAGAGAACGAGCCAAGAACAAAATGGTAGGTGTGGTTGGTTGGGGATGAGAGCGGAGCGCCGGTCCATCCTGCCTGAGGGCCGTTTTTCTCGGGAGGCGGTTTTAAAGCTTCCAGGGTGCACACGTGACGACAGGACAGAAGCGCGTCTGTCCCCGGTGGTCTGGGGTTGTGCCTCAGCAAAGGTGTGTCCTCGGCAAGGGTGTGTCCACTCAGGTTCCTTGGCTGGTGGGGACACTGCAGCAGTCCCCTGCTGTCCTGCGTGTTGGCAGTGGTGCGTGAACACGTCTGGGGCACATCGTGGAGAGTGTACTGGGCAGGGGGAGAACAGGCAGCAGGCCCGCTGGACCCAGGTCTGTCAGACGTGCTGGCTCGTCCCGGCACATCGGCTCCTGGGACCCGGAGGGTGAAGCCCCGAGGCCACGGGTGGGACGGTGGCTGGGGTGCTGCCCAGAAGAAGAGCAGGGCTTCCGGTTCAGCCGAATTTCAGGGGGTCCACGAATACATTCTTAGCACAAGTACCTTCTGCGTTTTGTACGAGTGTTTGCCAGGAAACCACTCCTTTATCTGACATTGCAGCTTAACTGGGCACACGCTCCTGTCTGCGACACCGGCCCTATGGGGAGTAAGTCTGGGGGCCGGTTTATGTCCCAAGCAAGGCGCTCAGTGGGGTTGTTCTGGCTCTGGCACTTGTAGGTGGTGGGAGTGTGGGCCAGGGCTGGTCACATTGTCCTTGCTACAAGATGGAAAATTGAGACCCCCCGACTCCCACCACGGTTTCTGAGGTCCCTTTTCAGCTTGCAAATTGTATTCCCGCCTTGACATTTTATAAAGTAATTCTGCCCCGTGTGGTAGCATTTAAATGGTGAGGAGTACGGATCGGTTTTCCCGAAAGAGAAGTCGGGTCAGTGTAGCGTGCTGTGGAAGAGCTAGTTACTGGACCACGGCCAGGGCCGAGGGCTGGAACTCAGGTGGAGTGGGGAGAACCTTCCGGCCACAGGTCGCTGTTGCACGTTGCCTTTGCTGTTATCTCACGGCGCTCAGGAGTGTGAAGACCGTGCTCAGGCAGCGTGTGAGGGCTGGGTGCGCTGGCGCAGGCTTCGCTTGCCGACCCCGTGTTAGGTGACAGCAGCTTGCAGGCCTGGGGCATGGCCATGAAGCTGCGGGGCGGGGAGAGTGGGAGGTAGCAGAGGGTCATGGGCGCCCGGTCCTAGAGCATGAGAAAAAGCGAGGCAGGGAACCAGCAGTTAGCGTAGTGGCTATGTCGCTGGACTTCCACGTAGTCGACCGTGGTTCGTGTCCCGGACCCGGTGGCTTTAACTCACACCGGGCATGTGTGCGTGCGTGCCCGCCCAAGATCCCGAGAGGAGAATGGAGGAGAAGGGATTG